TTTGAAACAAGGGTAAAGTTGGTTCTTGGGCCAGAGGCTTGCTCATGTGCGTCATCGGGTCGTGCACTGTCGGTTGCATCGGGGAGATGGGAGCTCCTGTGTTGGATACGGGCTTCTGAAATCAATTTACTTTCTCAAGCTTAGCACTGACGATTCCGCAAGCTGTACTGTGTTCTGGACGCGCCCCTTACTGCGCTTTGGTGTGCAGTCGATTAAGGACGTGAGAGATTTTGTAGTCAGTTTTCTCCTCCAAAAACACAAAGTTCAATGTTACCCGATCAGCGAAGCTATTATTTGAATATTACATCAAACGGAAGTGAAATTGGTGTACTATTTGGCGCCTATGATAGGCATTCGTCAAAGCGCAAGTTGAGTGATGATTATTTCTCGTCTACTCAGCCCTACAATTACTCATTTGACTGAGGGGTTGTGTTTGAAAAACATCCAATAAGCCTTTTCCTTCTAATGTGGAATTAATAATTTGAACATTTTTCGCCCTTCAGGGTGCATAATAAAGCCGAAGAGCCTTTCCTAAAGAGGTCTGCCTTAAATTTGACGTGTATGCTGTTTGATTCCTAAAGCAGCTCGCAAGAGATTCAAGAGACCAACCTAAGGAGCCATACCAGGGTACGACAAGCGTTAACTAAGTTGCACACTCGTAACAAGTACCACCTATGAGGAGTGTGATGGCACGCCTTGGTGCAGGTTCATGCCACACCGGCCATTCGCGTCCAGACCCTCATCAGATGGATAACCGACTCGGACAATAAACTGATGCCTGGTAAATGGCGAAGTGCGAGTTTGACGCTGGGACCCCGTTCGCATGACGCCCCAGGACAGTTACTCAATATAAACAATCTCACGCGATCGAAGACGATCACGGTGGTTGGACTGTCGGGGCCTGGAAGGCTGCCAACTGACGGAGTAAATCGGTTCTCCTTCCAGGACACAGAGTCAAACCGCAGTGTCTCCTGCCTGATGGAGGATATATGGCGCTCCCCCTCAGGTGAAATCACAGCCGGCCTTTTCTTATGTGTGAAACCTGGTCTATCGCGCACGGACCAGGTGAATGGAATGCGTAGGCGAGCTGTCTAGTTTTGTCAATCACTGCGCCCGATCCCGTCTCCGGTTTTCACGCCGCTGTTCTGACAGCCAGCTCGGTTGGACTATGGAGAAAAGAGTGCGTTAGATAAGGCGCAAGTCGCCGTCCCTGCGCCCAACCTGCTGTGAGGCACACGGTGGACATCGTCGGTAACGACGGCCGAGCATCTCCCCGTCCAGTGGTGTGGGTGCGTACTAAATGCGCTGAAGTACCAAGTAAGAAATGCCTTCGTAGAATCGGACACTTGAATTTGCTGATGATTATCAAACCAGGTGCGCAGACCACGACAGCACCCTCTCTTCATTGGTGCTACCGTGGTAACTGTCGCCTGTCTCCAGTCCTAATCCACGATTCTAACTCCCGAAAAATCAAGCTCCTGCGGGTCAAGTCTCACCTTGTTGTCTAAAGTGACGGACCGTTCAAGTCCATGGGTACTAATGGCTCGGCGAGCGCCCTCCCGCAGCAAGCGCATCATGCTTTGCCTGCGACTAAGTGTGCACTTTACTAACACCTCTTCAATCAGCACTATAATGAATTCTTCTACGGGCAGTTTTATGAAAAGCGCAAAAAACAACCTGGTTGTTGCCTAGAGATTGTTTCCGGCAACTAAGCGGCCAGCTAGGTGGCTCTCTAATTACCACAACGACCGTTTTGGGCTCGCTTCTCGGTATTACAGTAACTAGAAAGCGTTAAACTTTTCCGGACAAAACCAGCTGGTTATTACCAACTGGTGTTCAGAGATCGCCGTAGGCATCTGTCTGATCGGTTTTTAGACGATGGTATTACGAAGAACCAAACTGACTACACTTGAGCCTCTTCGAAGCTCCGTGTGTGAATTCATGATTACAGAGAGATGGATGTGTTGAGGCTGGTAATGCCTATCCCTAAAATCATGTTTTGGTTCACGAACGCATGAACGCCCACCTCTCATACACGCCTAACTTTATTTTATGTTTTCTAAATTTCCACTAAATAACTTAAAATCCGTTTGCGATACTGGCTTTCTAGCCTTAAATTGCGATGACCTAAAGAACTTGGCGTCGCGGGTGAACCAATTCTCTAAATCAGTCATCATATCCACCAATGCTGCAAGATCAGTTTTTTAGCAGGGAATGGCGCCCTATAGATTGACGGCCGAGTTCTCACAATCCTTAAAAGTGTCTGTGGATCCTAGGTGACATCCAGAAATGTTCACATGCCAGACACATGTCCGGCCGGTTTTTTTGTGTCGTTGGGAAAGCCTGAGTTACACGTGTTGAAGCCGAACAAAAACTGGAGGTGTGTTACTACGGTTGCCCGGAAACCATCCATCGAGTGAAGTGTATGAACTTCGCCTCGACTAAGACAACCTGAACTTGCTTAGACAACGCAAAGATAACGCAAAATAAAACGAATATGCAAGTCCCAGGTTCTTATTGCAAAAAAGACGAACGCGCGGTCACTGAGTCAGTACTTGTTTTCGGTCTAGTAGGGAGGCCATCATCAGAGCCTGTGAGGATGCAACGTCAAATAAGCAGTTTTTCATGCAATCAAAGGGAGCGAGGAAAGGGAGTGGGCCCAGCCTTATCGCGAACACAACCACCTTCTCCTTCATCCCTACTCTCTCCTTTCTCGTCGACTCACTACAAAGCCTGCCTCACTTAATGTTACATCCTCACGGTCTCTGATGATGACCACCTCTACAAAACCGAAAGCTCAAGCTAATACACATACTGTTCCGTTGGCCGCATGTTCATCTTCTCTGCGTAAAGAAAATATCTCATGCCATCCAAGAATATCTGCTGAGGTCCTTTGTGTATGTTCTTGTTGTCTATCTAATGCTGTCAGCATCACTGCCCTAGACTTAGTGTCTCTGGTCGCATGAGAGTGTCGACAGGGAAGACAGCTGAAAACCTTGATCAACAACGTTTAACAGGACAAGTAGTTTGTTCGCAGACCTATAGCATTCGATCTCCAACGCTGATAGAGGAAATGGATCGAAGTATCTGCCTCCGGCGGCACGGATCGTTATGCATGGAGAGGATCAATTCGCGACACAATCGAGACCACCTAGATCGGTAATGCTCACAGTCGCACTAGTTACATATACATGTTGGTGTAGTTGTACCGCTTTAATCACGCGAAAACAATTGCAATTTGTCTTTGATGACCAATTCAGAAAGAATAGCCCCGTAGCTCTGTTGTTGAACTCCTTGACCATAATTGGACTTCAGGTTCTTAGCGACCTCGACTTTATCGACGGTTTCTACGCATACAGCCCTTGCTATTTGCCAGCACTGAAGGTCTACGAGGAATGACATTAAATCCGCGCTTATAACAGTAAAGCGTTTTGGTTTATTTTAGACAAAATAACGTGAATCATATCACTCACGTATTTAATGATTAACCCATTAAAGCAATTTCTACATGAATCATTTTGAATTTAATTGAACCAAAGTGACCTTGAATGCTTAGCAGGTAATGAAAGCCATGGCTAGCAAATTCGGATTCACCTTCCCTGGCGAATGTTTTGGGAAGAACTAGCGACGTTAATTTCAATGCGGGACCTTTTAACATTGCCAATTGAAAGGGTTCGATTGTTCGTGCTTCTCTCTTAACCAGACACAGTAAAACCATTATAACCTCAGTCCCATCTTTCTCAGTTACTTTAGAATAATAATAATACTAATAATAATGAAGTGCTCAGATGACTGAGCATTAACATCTCGGGAAATTTTTGACGCACAATGCTTCGCCGTTGATGCTGTTAATCCGCTTTCTCAGTAGTTAAAATTTACACAATATCTGAGAGTGACAAGTTCAGACAGCCAAAGGACTGTTGTGACGTATCAAGCTGCTTAGAGACACCCATTATGCCCACTAGGTAAAACCCGGGTCCTTCTCTTGCCAGGTTTTGGCCGCCACGTGACACCACAATTTCAACCGTCGCTGACGACACTAACTACCGTGTTCCCCACAGCATTCTAGGTTCACAAACGGTGACTTGCGCGAAAATTGGTTTTTAGTGATAATAGCCTTACGTTGAGTCTACCACACTCTATCCTTCCTCGCTCACCCGACCCAGCGTCAAGGCAGTCAAAAGGACCAGAGATGAGATCAGGCCAAGTAGCCGAAAAAGCTGAACAGTCCGTCTAAGCATGTGACACAGAACTTGCTCCGCACACGATGGACTAATTTATCAAAAGAGACAAGAGGTGATTGTCTCGGATCTCATCTGAGTGCCAGTGCCCGAGAGGCCATGTTAGGAGGGTGCCATTGCAGCCCGACTATCCGGCCCCAAAGGAGGAACGAGTTACCCCGTCGGTTGGCAGTCTCCCAAGTCCTGACGGCCTTGTGATCGTTTTCAAGTCCCTCAGATTGTTCATAGTGAGAAAATGTGCTGAAACATCGTACGGATGGAGTCCCCAGAGTAGACCTCCTTCTCATTTCCCCAGTTCTTGGCCATCAGTTCACTGCTCGAGCTGGTGAACCATCAGCGTGCGCCCGCGCCTAGACGTGCTACGAAACTCCTATGTGAGACACTTGTTGTGGGTGTGTAGTCCGATTAACGTGTTCCGTATTCTAATCTGGCCTCCGTGTTGGTCCATCAACAATCCTCCTTGGCCAATTGTAGGGGCATACAATGTGTGACCCAATTCCAGCACTTTTGAGCCATTTGGAAGTATATTTTGGCACCGAAATGTACCCCTTCTTAGTCGTGAACTCCAAAAGTTACTTCATAACTTGTAAGAAGACGACCCTTCCAGAAGATTTCAGATCTGCCCTACTACGTCCTTAATCTATCGAAATAAGAGGCTTCTCAGGTTCTTTGTCTAAAATGAGTCAAAAATCCTGTATCGGAATATTTTATTTATGCCGTAAAGCAACCACTTCCGGAAGAGAGAACCCAACTTTCAGTCTACACAAATTCAGATAGCACCCGACGGGCGTAGAGGTATTGCTCCAAGCTCGGACATACTTCCTGTGGGATAACTTTGCCTTTCAGAAACATAAAGCTGCGTGTTAGGGAGGGAAAAAGGAGATTCCAAACATTGCACTGCTCCCTGCGATGATGCGACTTAACCGCCCGCTTCAAGCCGATTTCCATGTACTTGCCTGATTCTAAGTCATACTCCGGCCAGTCTGGTTTCGTTCTGCTTCCTTTTGTAACCGGCGTCGGATTTCTGAAAGAAAAAGGGTAGGACTAGTTTCTGAAATCGCACAGTTAGCCTACTTCTTTTCGAAGTCGAACGATTTTTTATAAACCTACCCAGTACGAGCAAAATTTGTCCAATATTTCATAACGGTTTCGCTCAGTGTTGTCTCCTCAGCAGTGTAATTATAGAAGTTACGCTTAAAAGTATCAGAAAATGGCATTCCAAAGACGTAGTCAATCTCGTAGCCGTGCATAGCGCCAGTCCAGTCGGGAAAACCGTTATTTCGCGTTTTGTGCACAAAATTGTAAACATAAACAATGGCATTCGGAAGCTCTGCAACGAGTTGGGCAAATTTATGCGTTCCACACGTGAACTCAATGTCACCAGCAATGGCATCCATCTGAATCATAAATTCAGTCGAATTTTTCACAGCGAAGTCCCGCAATCCGGTAGTGGTGTTAGTAACTTCACGAAGCCCCGGACTTGTGAATCCGTATGCAGTGGTC